GATGAAATCAAATGGATTTGGAAAATGACAGTTTTAAATTAAGGATTTTTTTTGCTTTTATGGACTACAAAGAGCTGAACTTGAACCCCAGAAAAAAGCTGTGGTGTTCTGCTCAGAATACATTTTGTTTAATACTTTGCAAATGTCATTTGGTCAATCTAATGCCAACCTTAAGATACTGCAGAGAAGCTTTTGTGACCTTTTTCTTGTCATTCAATTTATAAACCTAAGAATGGGATAATTTTCCATTGTTAAAAGATTCTTTTTCTGTCCTGCTTGCTTTTCACTCACCAGTGACCTACTGTAATTATCACAGAGGTGATTTCACTTTTGTATTAATTGAGAGATCTCACCGTATTCTCAACTGTTACAAAAGTAAATGAGTAAAACTCATTTTTCTGTTACCCAAAATTATATCAGAAATACTTTAAGGTACTTAGCAAAGTTGCTCTGTCTTATTTTAATGTGCTTTTATTTGCCTGATGACACAAAGAAGAAGCTTTTACTTGTCCTCTCATCCTTTTGTGAAGAAATTAAAAACTCCAGAAATTTCCTTGGAAAGCAGCTCCTCCTGGTAGTTTTAGCAGTTAGGCCACTTTCTGTCCCAGTAAATAAATGAAGCTTACTCTTATTTAAATATTCAAGTGCCAAAGTGAAGTTTGGTTTTCTCCACTCAGCAAAAAGCTACAGAAAAATAGCCTTTCAGAGAATGAGGATAAATAATTCAGATTAACTTTTAGTCATAAAAACTCTTTGAACTTTTAGATCTGGGCAATGAACTAATTTCCCTCTTGGTAGATCCCATTCTTTACTCATTTTTGGTTCATCAAACCCAAAAATGTCTGGAAATGAGCTATCAGTGAGAAAAGAGGTGTGTGGGCAATGCAGGGAACTCTTCATTGATGTGCACAAGGGGCTGCTAACAATTGTTATTGTTGGCAATAAAAATTCCATTGCTCCTGAAATTATTGGATTTTTTTCCCCCCTCAAATGATCTTTTGATACCAACACTGAGTTTGTTCCTTCCACACAAACCTGGTTTCCTCACCAGCTCTGGACAAGTTCAGGAGAACACAATTAGCTGTTAAATTAATTGATGTTCAGAGGGACCACTGTTGGAAAGAACAATTCCATTGCTCCTGATCTTACTTATTCTGTTTTTTTTTTACCAGATCTTAAGGGGTTTTGCACTCAAATGATCTTTTTGAGTGCAATTTGTTCCTTCCACACCAACTTGATTTGGCTGCCAGCTGTGGAGAGGTTTAGGAGAGCACAATTAGCTGTGAAGTCATTGGGAGCCCATCAGTGAATTTATCTGAAAGGTTGCAAAGGGTCCTGCTCCAGACAGAGAGCAGGTTGGGATGATTTAGGGAATGAGCTGCAATTAGTCTGTGGAAGGATAAATCCTGGGAATTGCCATCCCCTGCATTGGCTGTGCAGAGCTGTGCCCATCAATTATTCCTTAATTTCTTCCATTTAAGGCAAAGCTTTGACTTTTCTGGCCCTGATTATTTTCACTTAGCGAGTTGTGTTTCTTGGCCCAGTTAATTGCCTTTTTCACAGTTTTTAAAGATATCCTGGAGGCACTGAGCAGCTCCCTGGCTTCTGTTGGCAGCTCCTCCTTGGAGGGAATGTCAGCTCGTGGTTCTTCCCATCCTTTCTGTAGAATAATTCCTTTTACACACAGCTGTGGTGTTCACGAAGGGGAAATTAATTTGTGTTTGTGTAGTTGGGATGTAGAGGATGAGCCACAACATCTCTGAGTTGGCTGCAGGCTGCCATGGCCTTGCTGATGTCATGCTGAGCCATGTGAATCACAGGCAAAAAAATAAAATCCCAATAACAGCCCACAGCCGACAGAGCAGAGGAAATTCAACTCTGGAGAATATATCCATTATTCATGCCACACACACTGGCTCATTGCTGCTTTCACTCCTTTTCATCCTTCCCCTTTGCTGCTTTATTTGTGTGCTTTGTAGTACTGGAAATGACTGATTTTGTGACTTGATAAGGGTGGGAATAATTTGTCACTGGTTTTGCACAAAGAGAGGAGCCCCTTCGGGCAGTCAGGTTTTTATTGCAGCCCAGCTTGAAACTGTGTGTAATTACTGAGAGTGTGTGTGAGGCTGATCTTGCCAGCTTTGGGTGTGCTTCTCCTGTGATCACAAGGAAATTACTGCAAGAAACTGTTGGAGTGAACATTGAGTTCCTCACTACTGGATTTTAATGCTGGAATTTAATGTTGGAATTTTCAAGTGGTTAAATCATCCCTGTGTAACATGGAATATTGGGATTTTGGCCTTAGTTTGCCGTGTGCTTCTTGTGGAAATGAGGAGTTGGAATCTTTGTCCAGTGCTGGTCAAGAGTGAAAAGTAATTAATTTAATTTATTTAAATGGGAGAAATGTCCCTCGCCCTCCAAACCAGATGCTTATTTGTTTTTCCCTGATGTTATATGGAAAGACAAGAGCAGGGCTTTTTTTTATCTGCTGAATTTTATATACCTCATTTATGCATTGCAGTGTCCTGGGAATAACCAGCATTGCAATGGAGCTACTGCTCACAGGAAATCTACAGAGCAAGATCTACAGCAAGAGCTGCACTTCTACATGATTTAATACCAATAAAAATTATTTTAGTAGCCCTTTGGCTTGGACGAATACATTTTTAATCATGGGGCTGTACAGCCTCATAGTCTGATCATCTTGTCACATTATCAAGCCAGCTGAGGTGGGAAATTGGGAAATATACTTCCGCAGTCTTCTTTAAATCTCCAGAATTAAACTTTAATTGGTTTGTCCATAAAGTAGACCCTCAGTTACTGCTAATTGTTGCAGCTCCAAGCTGTAAATGGCTGTTGTAAATTGTTTTACCCCACAGTAGTTCATGAGAGACATTGAAGTGTTAATTTTTACACTCGGTGTGAAATTTTAATTCGAGATATAAAATGCAAGCTCTCTTTTAAGACGTGTTACTAAACATTTATTGCTCTGTGCATGTGAATGATCAGCAAATAAACCCCCCCCCTGTTGCTGCCTGTGGTTCCTAACTGGTCATTAGAGCCTCATCCACCACAGCTCCCTGTGCAGAATTCCTGAGCTCCAGCTCAGGAGTCCTTCCAGCAGATGTGGGATGTTTGATGGTCCAGCTTGACAGCTTCAGTGGATTGTGACTGAAAATTAGATGCTCTGGAATCTGCATCCAGCCCAGGGACAGGTTGGGTTCCCTTTGGAGAGGGGTCTCAGCCTTGGTGGCTTCTTGAGGTTCTCCTTGGGTGTCACCAAAGCATTGCTTGGTTTCTTTTGAGAGCTCTAGGGCTGGGTGTGGAATGGGTTGTGGCATATTGTAAATGCAGGTGAACCCAGTGAGAAGAAATGAGGATGTCTGACTCAATTCAGAAGGCTGAATGATTTTTTTATTGTCACTATGCTAAAATACTTTAATATACTATATAAAGGAAGGTACTAAAACTACAAACCTACTTTTTCTAACTATATCTCTAACTCACCTTGTGACCCTCTGAGAGCCCAGCCCCAGGTGGGTTGGGTTGGGTTGGATTGGATTGGGTTGGATTGGATTGGATTGGGTTGGATTGGATTGGATTGGGTTGGATTGGGTTGGGTTGGGTTGGATTGGATTGGCCATCAGGCTCAAACAATCCTCACCAGAATCCAACCAAGCATCACCCCAGGGAAACAATTCTCCAAACACATTCCACATGGGAAAAACAAGGAGCAGAAATAGAAGTTTTTTTCTCTTTCATATCTCTCTGTTCACCTCTGTGAAAAATCCTGAGAGTGAAATTTGCCACCACAGTGGCAGGAAAGGGGAGCTCTTGGAAAAGAAAGGAGTGGGGTTTGTGATCTCTCCTCAAGACTGTTCTCCTCCTGTGGCTTTTCTACCTGTGGAACCACAAATTGGGAAATGTGTGTCCAGGCTGGGGGGTGTAAATTACAATCATTTCTCACATCACAGAGTGACACAGGGGGTTGGGTTGGAAAGATCTTAAAATTCACCCAGTGCCCCCCTGCCATGGCAGGGACACCTCCCACTGTCCCAGCTGCTCCAAGCCCCAGTGTCCAGCCTGGCCTTGGGCACTGCCAGGGATCCAGGGGTGCCCCAGCTGCTCTGGGAATTCCAGAATTCCATCCCAGCCCTTCCCCACCCTCCATGGAAACAATTCCTTCCCAATCTCCCATCCAACCTTTTGCCTCTTTTCAGATAAAAATACACCTGTTATCAAACAATTTGGTTTGATCGATAAAACACAAGGTGAGGCAGACAAGTCTGGCTGTTCTCGTTTATATTTCAATTACTCTTGTTTTTTTTTTCTACTCTGGTGCTCAGTGCATGTAATAGCTATGAATTGTTCTTAAGAAAAAGATAAAATGAGTAAAAATCCCTGCAAACAATTAAAATATTAAACATCTGTTTGTATCTTCCAAGCTCTTTCATGTGCTGTGCAGTGGCAGCTGCGAGTTCAAGGGGAATTGGGAAGAGCCAGGGTTTCATGAGTGGCTACCAAGAATTTACTGCAGGGAAAAAATGCTAATTAGGTTTTCTGTTTAATTTTTAAGTAGTGGAGTGAAAATTAAGCCCAAACAACTCCAGCATGGCTGAGGAGGAGGATGAGAAGGTGCTCAACAGAAGATGGGGATAAAGGGATTAGAAGAACCAAAAGGTTTCTGTGAAATGTTGGAAGAAGCTTATAAAACTCAGATTTTGGTCTGTTTCCTCAGTTTATGAACATTTCATGCTTCTGTCTTATTTTAAATCAGTTTAAAAGTTTAATTTTTGCTGAATTTCAGCTCAGGTGTCACAGAAAATGGTGAAATCAAAGCTATCTCCTCATGAATTATTCTCTTATTGCAGTCTTTGCATTACCTTTAATGCAAAGACCTTTAAGCACATTAATTAATGTGCTTAATGCAATGAATACAAACGTTTAAGCACATTAATTTCATTAATTTGTTTTGGTTTTTTTTTGGTGTATTTTTTTAGGGTGCAGCACTTAAATATTTGCCCGCAATTGTCAACGATGTGAAATTAGTGTTTGATCCAAAGGAACTCAGGTGAGTAGAGTTAATTAAGTGTGGAGTGCTAATTTTATATAAAACTTTATTTATAAAGACATATTAAAATATACACACAAATATATAAAATACCTACAATATCTAAATATAAAAATATACACTATATATTTTGTGTTTCTACTATATCTATGCTATCTATAAAGATACAAAAATATATAAAAATATAGACATATATACTGAGACAGTGAAATATGGATCACCTGAGAAGTTTTATCATTTTGGTTTTGTTGCAGTTTTTTTGTCCCTTGCAGGTATTTTTAAGGGTTACACAAAGAGCCTATTTTTTAAAAATAACATCTAACAAATATCTGTCAAACTTTGCAGTACAAACCATTAACAAGAGTTATTAATCAGGCAGCTGCCATCAAACTCTGAAGCTGGACCATGATGCTTCGCTCTTACGTATAAATTTCATGTAAATAATAAAATAATAAATAATTCTGTGGTTCAGTTGCTGGATCGATGTCTCAGTAGCTCATAAACATGGCAGTGTTGTTAGTAAATAAAAAGGACAATAACAGGATATTAAAAAAAAAACAGTGGAAAAACCAAATAAAAACTGGCATTTCAGCCAAACCTTTAGCTGAAAGTGAAAAGTATAATTTTATTTTTTTATGGTGCTGTTACAAACTGAAAAAACATCTTAAATCTCATTTTACTGTACAAACCCTTCTAAATTTTGTCTGACTTTATTTTTATGGTCTTGATATGTCAGAAGGAGGAAAAGAGATAAATTAGGGATAAAATAAATAAACGTAAAATAAATAAACGTAATCTTAGTCTAACATTCCAGTGGCCTGAGGAACCTGGCATTTACCTTCTGCTTGTCTGGGGACTGTCAAGTGCTTTACATCTACACTTCCCTGGGCCTAAGAAGTCCAGATTTGTAGAGTTTCTGGACTAAATAATAAATTTGGTATGCAACAGCAAAATTCCTGAGAAAAGAGAAAGGAAAATGCAGGACTTGGTCTATTTTAGCCCAAATATTGCATTTTTTCTGTGGTATTACCAATACAAATTTCAGTTAAATACTGGGAGTATTTAAATTGAGGTTGACTTAAGCCTCAGTAGGAAAAGCAAAGAACCCAAGATTTTAGGAAGGGATGGAAAATTGTTGAAAAATCTTGTCAATATTAGGTAGGAGTGATGAATGTGATGGTACCTTTTCCTAAAATGTCCAGTTCTGGGGTTCTCTAATTATTAATTTTTTTGTTGGTAGCTTACAATGTTAATTTTGGCATCCATAATCATGAATGTGCTGATTGACGTGAAGCACAGGCAAGGAAAACTTGAAACCTAAAACCTTAAGTGAAACACAGACAAAGAGTCTAAAACTGAGATAAAATGGAGGGGACAAAAGAAATGTAATTAAAAACTAAAGAAATTTGTTGAAAACTATTAATGATTCTCTGATTTATTTTTGTTTTAAATCTCTCAAGAAAATCGAGTTTGCTCATCCAAGAGCAGGAAGTCGTGTCTCAGGTTCTTTATGGGTGATTGCTTCCAGTTGTTTTTCCGTGGATTTTTAATGGGTTTTTTGATGGATGATTTAGTGGGTTTTTGCTTTTAGTTTGATGGATTTTTGCTTTCCCTGTGTGTGCAGCAAGCTCTTCACCGAGTTCATCCTCAACGTGCCCGTGAGCCGCTTGACCATCCAGAAGCTCTATTGTCTCATCGAGATCGTGCACAGCGACCTCTTCACCCAGCACGGTGAGCAGGCAGAATTCCAGCTCTGTCCCCTGCCCCTGCTCCCTCCTGCCACCCCTCTGCAGCCTGGCACACCTTAAGGCTGTTCCACTGGAAGGACGAGGTTGGAAAATCAAAACCCAAGAGTGGTTAGGGTGGGAAGGGACCTTAAAGCCCATCCAGTGCTGCCCTTGGCTTGCTGGGCAGCTGTTGTTGTCACTAATCATGGAGGGATTGCTGGTTTTGGGCTGGTTTTTCCTCCTCTGGAGGTTGGGATTGAAGGCATTTAGGAGGATAGTTCACGTTCAGACTTAGGTGTTTATTTGTTTATTATTTCTTATCTGTGTTACCGTCTCACAGCAGTGAGTCCTGCACTAACAATTACAAAATGGCCAACTGTTTCTTGTTACAAGGTCTTTTAAGGCTAAACTATCCAATGAAGAAAGGACACCTAGATTATTTTCACTTTTAACCCAATAACTCATCACTCAGAGTCTGCACTGTGGACTTTTCTGTCTAATTACAAAATACCACCCAGACCCGTGGAGAAGAACAACCAGCCTCTGCCCTAAAACCTCCATCTTGCCCCATATATGTTGCTATATTCTAAAACCCCAAACTCTGCCATTTTCCACCCTGTGACATTACACACTTCTGTTAAAACTACACACCCATGATCCCAGTGCTGTCAGTCAATTTTGGAAACCTTCTCCACAGCCTCAGGTCAAATGCAAAGTTCTCTTGGTAGTCAGAGTCTGTCAGCACAGAAAGTTGAAAATTCTCAGCATCCAGAACTCCAACAAGGGATGAGACTATTTTCAGGCTAAGAATGATTTATTGCTCAGATAAACATCAGTCTCAGAGGCCCTGAGATTTTAGAGGAGCAGGCATTTGGCCACAGCTGAAGAGCAGTCACAAGTTCTTGGTTACAAGGCAGTGCAGAACTTTCTAACCCAATGACAGCTGCCACAGGGTTTATTTTGCTTTTCTAACCCATCACCTTTACTCACTTCTGCTGCACTGTGGATACTTTAGTCCAGTGGGCTTCTAACTCACAGCACACATCTGCTTCTGTTAAAACTTCTAAACTCTCAGCTTGTTCCATACAACCCCACCCTAACATTAGAAACCCTTCACCATCTCACCAACACAGTTTCTCACTTACTTAAGGCATATTCTTGCTTACAACTATAGAAACATGATAGAAAAACAGGGTTTTTCTGCTTAATATTTGTGTATTGTATTTTTACATCAATCCAAGCTTCTTCCAAAGCTGCAGCTCAAACCCTGCAGTGTCTGTGGAAGTTTCTGTTTTTCCAATTCCCACAGGCACCTTGCACTATCCCAGGCTGCTCCAATCCCCATCCAGCCTGGCCTTAGGTATCAGGAAAATCACTTGTTTACCATTTGTTCTTGCAGTCTCACTTAGGAAAGTGCAAAATTACAAAAATCTTAGGATTTGTTATTTTAAAAGGGCACAAAGCAGCCAGGTTATTTGTCTGTTGTAATTTCGTGTTGGGGTTTATCAAAAATCTTTAATTCAGCTTTTGTGGGCTCGTGTGGGGGCGGTGAAGTTTTTGGATGCCCTCTGTGCCTTGATGCTGTTCCCTACCTGAAGGAAAGCAGAAACCTCTCAGAGGTTGCTGTTCATCCATGCCTTGTTATTTTCTGCTTTCTCATTAATGGGGCAGTGAAAGATAAATTCAGGCACTTGTCCTACAGATTTCCTCCTCTGAGGTGAAACACTTGATTCCTTTTCAAGCTGGCTGCAGGTTAAACTGACCCAAACAAAGTGTTTGTGTGCTGTCAGGGAGGGTAATGAGGGAGCAAATAGGCACTGCTTCAGTGGGAAAGGAGATTTGGAAGGATTCTGCTCTCAGATCACAAAAGCTGAGACTGCTGAGTGCTGATAAAACAAATTTTGCTGGTTCCAGTTTAAAAAATCTTGGTGGATTGGCATTGTGGTGGTTTTATGCCGCTCTTACAATCTCTGAAAAACAGTTTACCACCTGCGTCACCCTGTGTAGAAATTGGGTAGATAGAAACAGCAAGTCCAGATTTATCTTCACTCCTGAAATGATTTGAAGTTATTCAGCCCTTAAGTGCTGGATTTTCAAGAAGTGAAAGGAGGAATTCAAGTGGAGTTGCAGGTGTTGGGGCCCGGGTAAAATGGTGTGCCCAAGAATAATTTAATGTTTCCTGGCTAGAGCTGTGCATCAGTGTTACTCATTTGCTTTATTCACTCTCAGCTCACTGCCTGTGTAATAGTTTTCCCTTCTCCTGGCTGCTCTCAGGTTGCCAGGACTTTGGGGCAGAAGTCAGTAATATCAGGGATCATCCTTTACTCTCCTTGGGAGGAAGAAATGGAGATAACTCAGCTGAAACAAGAAATTGAGTGTAAAACACACTCCTGAGAAAGGCTATGCTGCATTTGCCATATTAATCTTTGCCCTCCCTTATTGAACAGTTCCATTTCCAGAGGGAGAGGTAGGAACTGTGTGTGGCTGGTTTGTTTTTGAAGCCTGACTCCCAAACTCAGCCCTTCAGGGAGCAGGGAATGGTGCAGCCCAACGTTATTGAGCTGCTGAGAAATTTAAATGGATGTGTTTTAATGGGAGGGTGATTAATCAGGGCCCAGGGCAGGTTTGCTGACATATCAGTGCTGCTTAATGGCTCTGAGATCTTATCAGAGGCTCCTCAGCAGGGTTTTCTTGTCACTGCCTGTTAGGAATGTCCTAAATCCAGCAGCCTTTGGTAGGGCTGGGATGGGGATTCCAGGCACCTGCACCGACCCAAACCACTCTGGGATTCCCATGGGTGTCTGTGGGGTTTTATTCAGTAAAAAAGGGTGGCTTTAAAAGCTTCTCTGGCTGTTGGTATCACAGAATCCCAGACTGGGTTGGGTTGGGAGGGGCCTTAAACCCCATCCAGTGCCATGGCAGGGACACCTCCTGGTGTCCTAGGCTGCCCTGGGACACTGTCAGGGATCCAGGGGCAGCCACAGCTGCTCTGGGAATTCCAGCCCAGCCAGGAATTCCTCATTCCCAATCTCCCATCCATCCCTGTCCTCTGGCAGTGGGAGCCATTCCCTGTGTGCTGTCCCTCCATCCCTTGTCCCCAGTCCCTCTCCAGCTCTCCTGGAGCTCCTTCAGGCTCTGGAAGGGCTCTGAGCTCTCCCTGGAGCTGCTCCTCTCCAGGTCTCCAGCCTTTCCTCACAGGAATTCACAGAATGACCAGGGTGGAAGAGACCTTCAAGGTCATCGAGCCCAGCCCCAACACCTCAGCCTGGCACCCAGTGCCACATCCAGGCTTTCTTTGAGGAGGACAGGGGCTCCATCCCTCTGATCTTCCCACCATAATTCTTCATCGTGATCATTCTCTGAAGTTTGTGTCTGAAGCCTCTGTTGTGCTGGGAAACTTTATAAACATTCAAATTCACTTGAAAAGAAGTCAAACCTCTATCCACAGCCTTTGTAAAATTGAGTTTTTCCTGTCCCTCACTCTGTGGGTTGGAGTTCATTACTGAAGTGTTGTTGCTGCCCTTCCTGCTCCTCACTGATTCAGGAATTTTAAACTGATAGGGAATGCTTCCCTATAAGCTGTCACCTAATCCTGGATCCTGTTGCACAAATGACATTTTCTTTCCTAAAAGCAATATGAACTACATGACTGTGAACTTAGGCAAGGCTGGCAAATGCACAGAAAATTTAATCAGCCTGCTTCTGGTGGAGAAAAAAGGCTCTAATTCTGTGCTTTGAGAGGTCAAGGAAGATTTATTTGTGTCTCCAGAGGAATTAAAATTCAAAATACATGAATCTGTGAAGCTTGAAGGATTTGGGGGTGAGAGGGGTGCATGTGTGAAGCAGTTTGCTTTGGTGATGTTGAGTGATGGATGATTCACTGGGAAATCTGGAGTTTGGGACCTTGGATCAGAATGGAGTCTGCTGGTGGGGTTTGTGTATCTTTAAAAACAAAGATGTAATATAATCATTAAAATAGTAATAATTTAATAGTAATATAATAGTTTTAAATATAGTTTAAAATTTTATTTTATTCATATTTATAAACACAAATAGGATAATGTTTCCATATAGTAAAGTAGAGGTAAATGAATATATAAATACTTTGTATTGAATTGTAAGTGAATATATATATATACTTTCCAGAAGTAAATGAATATGTAAATAACATTTATCCTTACCACCATATAATAACATAATTTATATAATCATATAAATTGTTTTTACTCCCCTACTTAAAAATTAAACAAAAAGGCATAAATATATTTTTTCCCCTGAGTGTGCAGCAGTTTAATAATAATTTAGTGGATATTTTCAGTGCTCATGGTTGGGAGTTAAATGAAGTGCCCTGTCCTTGCAAACATCAAGGTTTTGGTTTATGTAAACAGTGATTTTTCTGATTTGTTTTGTCCTATGGAGTTGTTTGGATTTGCTGCTGCTTTGTTTTCCAAATGACTTCCAGCTGATTGCCAAGTGAGATGTGGAGCTGCTGGAGTTTGAAAAATCCAGAGATTTTTCCATGAGGAATTTGAGCCCATTGAATATTAGTAGACAGCACCCAGCATTTATAAAAGTTCTTTCTGTTCAGCTATGATTCAACTCAAGCTGTGGAGCAGAAACAAAGTTTACTGAGCACAGGTTAAGTTTATTTGGCCACGTGAAGTAAATGAACCATAAAATAAATGGATTTATCAGTGTCCCAAGAAACACAATGTTTTTATTGACACAAATTTGTGGTGTGTATTCATCTTCAGCAGAGCTCCTGTGTTCATTGAAGGCTTTCCTTGGCTGCTGCTAATTGATGATTCCTGCTGAGCATCCTTTGCTACAGATGAATATTTGATCCCCTCTGACATTAAATCACACGGGCTGGGCTTTGCTCTAGAACAGATGTGGAATTATCATTGTGCAGCAGATCCTGAGCTGCCTTGGGAGCAGGATCTGATGCTTTGGACCATGAAGGGTCCCCATTAATCAGGGCTGGGGGTGCTTGTGGCAGGCAGGGTGATGAGGATTCACCTTTCCTCCTCTGTGTCGGGGGCTGCTTTCCTTTGAAATGACCCCAAGATGTGAGAGTCCTCGTTCCCTTAGCCCGCTGCAGCCAAAGGAGGAGTTTGGAAAGCTTCTGATTGTGTTTTCAAGGTTGTTTATTTCTCCTTAGCCATAACATTCTTTCTCTGACCTGCTGAGCTCTGCCTAGCAAGCCCACCATGGCATTCTGCCCTGAGCCTCAGGCAGCTCCCACCTGATATACTCAAAATTGCATGTGTATGTTTAGAATTTATTACCAATTCCCATCACCTGTGTTAGACTGTGAATCTCTGCCTTAAACCAATAGAAAAGTGTCACCATCACACCAAGACATGGAGGGCAAGAAGAAAGGAAAGAAGGCTAGGACATGACCAAATTCCTCCATCTTGTACCCCCTGAATCACATTCTAAAAAACCCAAAATTCTGCTTTTCCACCCTGTGTGAGTTCAAATATCACATTACTAAAACTCCTGTGGTTTGTAATTCCGCATACAGAGTTGGCAGTTTTTTCCATGGGCTAAAATGGAAGCCACAGTTGTTTTTGACTTCATGCCAGGGTCTCTGAGACCCCTGCCAGGGTCTGGAGCCAGCCAGGACAGCCAGAGGGATGTGCTGACACCTCTGAGCTTCCAAGTAATCAGTGCAGGGTGCAGCAGCTCAGTGTTCTTCAGAGCAGTTAATGGCAAAGATGCACTGAAAATCTCATCCTCATGTAGGGAGTGTCACCTCAGCCATGGGTTGGTTGGAACATCACAGAGCCATGGAAGGGTTTGGGATGGAAGGGATCTTAAACTCATCCCATCCCACCCTTGCTGTGGGACATCTTCCCCTGTCCCAAGTGCTCCAAGCCCCAGTGTCCAACCTTGGCACTGCCAGGGATCCAGGGGCAGCCACAGCTGCTCTGGGCACCTGTGCCAGGGCTGCCCACCCTGCCAGCCAGGAATTCCTACCCAGTATCCCACCCAGCCCTGCCCTCTGGCAGTGGGAGCCATTCCCTGGGACCTTCACTCAATATTCTCTCCTGGCAGGAGCTGTGGAGAGCCAGAAGGTCGCCCCTGAGCTTGTTCTTCTCCTGACTGAGCCCCCCCAGCTCCCTCAGCTGCTCCTCCTCACCCTTGGGATGGTTTTGTGGAGTTCCCAGCCTGTTTTGTTTCCCCCCATGTATCTCAGCAGACCCAGGTGGGAGCTGAGAAGGGAAAGGAGTGTTCTGTGCTGGTTGTGTCATTGCAGACCCAGCACTGGGACCAATAATCAGTTTTCCCTCTCTCAGAAATGCAGCTTGACTGCCTCCCCCATTGATCAGAGCAGCTCCAGCACTGCAGTGGAACTCAGATATTAAACTGATCTTTGCCCCCTCCCTACCAGAGGGGCTTAGCAGGGCTGTGAAACATTCCCAACCCTCTAATTAGGAGCCTTTTAAGTTATTAAAGACTGATTCACCTCGCAGGCTCTGCAAAGAAACCTTCTGTGCCTTTCCTGGAGTGCTCAGCAGCTGGGCTTTGGAGTTCTTCCCCTCTCCTGCATCTGGGGACAGCTCACATTCCACGACCCCTCTGCCCTCTGGGGCTCTGCTTCATCTGCTGTTTCCTTTCCATGTTAGCCCAAAATTCAGGGAGCAACATATCCTGAAGTTTTCCAAATGTAGAGGCACAAGGCTGAGATCACAGAGCATCTCTGGGGCAAATCTGCAGAGCCAAGCTGTTCACTGGGCTGATATTTATATGGATAATTAGTAATTCATTTTGACCTGGTGATTCCCTCCATGTAGGAACAGTCTGAGTACTTGAGCAAGGAAGGTTTTTTTGTTATTTTTGGGGTTTTTTAATAGCAAATGGTCAAAGGTTGGAACAGCTCAGAGGCAGAAGTTTTTAAGGTGAGGTGAGGCTTTGGTTGAAAAGCTGGAAGTCAATTTATTTTTCCTGGGTTTTTTTATGTGTTATGTAAGCACTGAAGCACATCAGCCTGAAGGCCCTGAAAGCTGTGTTTGTAACCTCGTGTTTTGTGTGCAGACTGCAGGGAAATCTTGCTGCCAACAATGACAGACCAGCTCAAGTATCACTTGGAGAGACAAGAAGATTTGGAGGCTTGCTGCCAGTTGCTGAGTAACATCCTGGAAGTGCTCTACAAGAAGGATGTGGTGAGTGTGGGCTGGTTCTGTGATGAGTAACACTTCACAGAAATTGTTTTAGTAAAGTGAATTAAGCAGGTAACTCCTGAAGCTTTATATTTTTATTTTTCTTTTTTATACCCTCCTAACCAGCCTTTTCTAACTCTTGGTTTTCCAGTGATGGGGATGTGTTTGTTGTGTGGCATCTCACAACGTCACATCCAGCACAGCACTTGTTTCTGAGGCGCATCCAGTACAGCTTTTCTGGTTAGATAGTGAAGAAATAAATGTCCTTAGGAGTTAAACATTCCTCATTTACTGTGCCTGGCCTCTTCCAGGTGGAAAATACTCTGTTTTGGTGGTTTATCTTTTCTCCCGTGGGTATTTTGGGAAATGTGCATTTGAGCTGTATTGTTGCTGACATGGTTCCCAGACGTGCAGCATGTGTAATATCCCTTTTTTTTTTTTTTTTTTTTTGATAATTTTTTTTTTTTTTTTTTTTTTTTTTTTTTTTTTGCATAATAGTCTTTTTTTGCATTCTCTTGACCTCCACAAACATACAACAGCTCTTTGCCAGAGAGCTGCAGTGATTTGATGCTCTCCTGAAATTTGGGCTGCTGCTGAACCTTCAGGGCTGTGTAGAATCATACACTAATTCAGCTGGAAATTACCTCAGGGGTCAGCTACTCACATCCTCTCTGGCATCTTATTTAATTGGGCTTTTTTGGGTTTTGCTCTGATTTTGTTTGTTTTTGGAAGTAGCTCTGTGTGGCTGCCTCAGAGGGGGGTTTGTTCTACAGGAGGAATTTGGTGCTGCAGCCTGGCTGCTCCTGTCTCTCTTTGTTGGCTTTTCTCTCCGTGGTAGGGGCTCACCTGCAGCTCCATCCTCTCCCAGGCTGATCCTGGCAGCAGGACCAGCTCCTGGGTCAGTTTGTGCTGCTGGTGGATCATCCTTCAAATATGTAAATCTATTTTTCATCCATAAAGTAAAAGATGGGAGCAAAGCTCATCTGTTTCTTTCTCCTTGTGGTGTTTTTGGCTTTGTTTTTTGCCCATCATTCTTTGTGAGGTTTCTGGATTTGTCTTTAAAAGCTGCTTGGAATAAAAATTTCATTTAACTCTTTCAAAAGTAGTGGTAGGTTGCTTCTAATATTGACTGAAATTAGCAATTCATTTAATAAAAGTTTTGCTTTGCTGTTCTCTTCCTTTTAATTGAGCTGTTGCAGAGCAGCCCCCCCTCCCCCATTTCTGGTAATGCCTGTGGGGGTTTGATGTTGGAAAAATCACTTGGGGGAAGAAAATTAATGGGTAACTAAATTGGATAATGGAAAAGGCTGCATTTCCAGTGACATTGTAACAGCACATTTTAATTCATCAGAAACAAGTATTACCAAAATAACACTTTGCTAAACCCATTCCCTCCTTGTGATCGACAGCAAGCCACGTTTGACTTAATTTCCACTGAGAGGTGGGTTGAGAGGCAGCACCAATGGCTCAGTGGTGTTGGTGTCTGTTGCTTGTAGTCATCACTGATTTATTCCTTGTGCCCAGGGCCCCACACAGCGCCATGTCCAGATCATCATGGAGAACCTGCTGAGGACAGTGAACAGAACTGTGATTTCCATGGGACGGGACTCGGAGCTCATTGTGAGTAAACTCAGACACCTCTGTCACATCTCCCCGAAGCTGCCTGTAATAGGATTGCAATCCCAGGTGACCCAAAGCAATCACACCTCCTCTCTCTCTCTTTCTTTCTCTCTGTGTGCTCAGGAAGCTGCAAAAAGCACTGCCTGGTAATTTTGCTCTGGTTGGCACAGGGGAAGAGCAAAAAAAAAAAAAAAAATTCTTGAAAAATATCTGTGAGCAGGTGATTAGCCAGGATTGATATCTGTGTGTGCCAAAATGATGTAGTATTGGTAATTAGCCAGCTGGGAAGTGTGGAAATGAGACTTGGCTGTTGTTCCTGCTTTACAAGCATTTACTTGTCTTTTTGACTTAAACTGAGATAACCAAGGTGAGTGTTCAAATGACTTAAGAACAGAGCCCACAATTATGTTTAGAGAAAGAACTGATGCAAGTGACCCTATTGACTTAACACTGTGATTTTAAAGCCTTACACTTGAATTTTTCCACTTTTAATTAATTAATATTGGACTAAATAATGAATGAATAGTGAGGCTTGTTGATATCTGAGATGGGGATAGATCTGAGTGTGTTTTTGGGGGCCTCTCTGTGTGTTTTTGGGAGTCTCTGTGTGTTTGGGGTCCTCTCTGTGTGTTTGCCTTTGCCTTGTATTCTTTCTCAGCTGTCTGCAGCTGGCAGCTGATCTCTCCAGGGAACTGGTTGAAGTGGGCCAGGTTTGTGCTGTGGCTGAGCAGTTGTACCTCAGTTCTGCATCAGTTTGGGTCAGTTTGGCTCAATGCACTGACTTCTTACCGTGGGGTTAATTGTTAGTCAGATAAGTCCATCAGCAACTTGGTTTTTTGATCTCCTCTTTCATTCCCAATTTAAATTCTCCCTGTAATTGCACACTGTGCTATTTGACTTTTACACCCAGTGATTTTTGACACAGGGCTCTGTGTCCTCAGCACTTCTCCCTGGACCTGCTGCTGCTCATTTCCTTGGCATTTGGGGGTGCTCCTGTTGGCAAATCTGCTGCAATTTCATTTTGTCTTTGGTGCATCATCCGCTGGCTTAGTTTTGATCTCCCACTTGTATCACTTGGGGTTTTGCTGTAAGGAGGAGATAATGGATCTCCAGATCCATTGCTGGAGCAGGAAGGCACAGAATCCCAGGGTGGTTTGGGTTGGAAGGACCTTAAAGCTCATTCTGCTCCTCCCCTGCCACAGGCAGGGACAATTCCATTATCCCAGGCTGCTCCAAGCATTGTCCAGCCTGGCTTTGGACACTTCCAGGGATGGGAATCCACAGCCTCTCTGGGGAAATGGTTCCAAGCAGATCATTCCTACAGAATATTCCAGTGCTGGGATGCAGCAGTGCAAGGAAGTTGAAAGACTTGTGTGTTATTTTTACTTCCTCAGTTTCAGGCTGAATGAGAGTTAATTATTGTTTTGATGAACATGGTTCAGGTGATATTTAAAAATGTTAATTATGCCTTTTGCAGTCAGCAGAGTAGATTTGAAAACTTGGTTGTGTTTGAGCTCAGAACAGTGGTATTAAAGATCTGCATTGTGCTCCTGAGCACAGCCTGGAATCCCTCTCTATAATCAGCTAATGAACACTGAGATTTCAGGCTATTTTTAATTAGTATTTACTCCTAACTTACAATGCAGCTGCTGCTGAAGAGATTCCCCTGTTAAATAACCAGCCACAACTCATTTCTGTGGTGTCAGCAAAGTAGGAGGAGTAAAATGAATAATAATAATAGTAATAATCAGGAAGCACAGCTTGACCCCTCTTGCATCAGATTTGGGTTGAAATGGTGCAGTGACTTTTTAATTTTACCTGCAGAAGAGCATTAACCATACAGGGTGACTGGAAGGAAGGAATTTGAAATATGTGACAGAGTTAAAGTAATGATCATTTCTTTAAAAGAAGTAAAATTCAGGACATAACCAATTTTTTATTCTCTAAATATAACTGTGTTGGTGTCCTAAAGCTGGCATGTTTTCTCCCTGGAAAAATACTTAGTGGCACCGTTTCCATCCAAAATCTGATGTTGCATAATGCAGTTTATGAGCAGTGGAGGAATGTCAAGGATTTAAGTGCTCAAGTGAAAAGTTTTAATTACAGTATGAGCCTTTTCTGCAGCACTAAACTGGAAGGATTCTCCAGTAGAATCCTTCAGCTTTGCACATTCGTTTTTCATTTTTTTTCCTCCTTAAATGTGAATTCCTTGATAAAATCAAAAACAAGTTTTATCCTATAACTTCAAAAGCGAATTATCTTGAAATAAGAGACCCAGTTGCAAGGAGAGGAACCAGATATTAAGTAAAATGAAGTATAAATGATAAGTTTAAAATCTGATTTGACAATAATTGCGTTAGCAAAAGAATTTTTAATCCTCATTGATTTGGGCTGGTGTTTATTCTGTAAGTCTCACTGGTGGTTGTTACTTAATCAATTTTCTGAGTAGAAGATTCTAATATTATTAATATTTATTTTATGTAATGATTCTGTTATTAGTGCAGGATGCAGCCTGAGGGTGCTGAGCTGTCCTGCTGCTCCAATCTGCCTGGTTTAGGTTAATTTTGCTCCTGCCTCGAGCTGCTGCTGCTCAGTGAGAAATCACCTGGAAAAAACCCACAAAACCTTTCGTACGGAAGAAAAAGTAAATTTAACTTCCTTGAGCCTTGGGAAGGGTGGTTTTAAATGTTCTCTTTCCTTTCCTGGTGGCTTTTGGATAATGTTGGGTTCCACGTGAGGCAACATCTCAGCCTCTTCCAGTAAATCAGGACAGAGCAGCCTTGGTGGCAGCTCCAGAATGATCCACGGCTGCTCCTTCTCCTCGTGTCAGCAGCTTGGGATGTGCCTCATCTCCAAAGCCAAGGCAACCAAGCTCCTTAATTTCTGAGAGGAACTCTCCTGGCCTAGGGGAAGATTGGGGTTGGAATGTGATGGTCTTTAAGGTCCTTTTTCCAACCCAAACCATTCCATGTTCCTGTGGTGTTAACTTCCAAGAGTGTCCATAAGGAGAGTGGCTCTGGAAAACATCTGAAGGTGGGGGAGCAAAGTCAGTGCTGTGACCAGGGAAAATGGATTATTTTGGGTATTGGGAAGCACTGGGCAGGACTTTGTGGTGTTGCTGATGAATGGGATCTTCTCCACCTTGCTGCTTTCCCCTCGGTGCTTTGGGATGAGGGTTGAGGTGGAACTGGAACAGAAATGATGCAGGAGCCATCGGAAGGAGAGAAGAAAAAGGGGTTTGTGGAACCTGTCTGAGGTTTCTGGAAGGAGATGGAGAAGAGGAATCTCTGTGGGGTGCAGGGGACACCTGACACAAGGAGGGTGACAGGGGTTGTGTGGAGCAGAGTGGCATTGATGGGGGAGCTCTGGATAATCAATCAATCAGCCAATCAGTCAATCAATCACCGTGGTGGACTGTCCATCTCTCAGCACTTCCAGGCTGCAGGTCTCCCCAGAAGGACGTAAAATACAGGTGCAAGTGTGAAATCTGAGTTATTGTTGGTCACAGGAGACTTCTGGGGCTGCAGTTTGTTTTTCAGCAGTTAAATCTGGATGTAAGTTATTTTCCTGTGCCTTAAAAGCTGCCCAGGTCAGGCTTCATGGATTCCAAAACGTTGGGCAGAAAACAGAAGTCATTCCTTTGCCAGACTTCTTCCATGTAAAAATATTTTGCTTTATTGAGTCACATGTTTTCTTCTCTTTCAAAATCAATTGAAATTACATATTGCAAGCTGATTTCACTGAAACTGGAGTGGTATTTGGATGGTGGCCATGGTTTTATTCCATCACTAATACTGAGCTTTTTTTATGTTGTCAAACCATCCTTGTTGCATTCCCTACCAACAATGATGGGAATGAGCTGCACTCACCTAAACAAATGGACACATTTGTAGCACTCCAGTTATTTTAATGAACCACAGATGGCTTTTATGGAATATTAAAAATCTTCATGCAGTCCTTTTCGTTCTCCCAGACAAAAATGGTGTTGGTGCAGTTGGATTTTTAGTGGCAATCTGGTTCAATTCCAGCTCAATTCCAACAGCAATATATAATATGTGGTAATACACAGGTCCTGGTGTAAGCTAACACCTGACTTTGTTGGGAAGTTCATGAAAAATCACCCTATTTGATTGGAAAAAGTGATTTAACCTTTAAAACATTGAGTGAAATCAAAGGCACAGACAGTAGTTTTGCATTTTAGGCAAGAAAAAGCAAACACTTTGAACCCATGGTAGGATTTTCCAGTTTTAATCATGTTTTTTTTTTTTTTTTCACTTTATCCTGTTTTTTTAGAAGTATTTTTACAGTTGTTTTTGTTTTTAATCTTTAAGAAACCAAGTGCTACTCACAGGAATAGTGTTTTCCTCCTAGTTCTAGGTCTAAACCAAAGAATGCAATTCTTGCTGTGTGGAAATTATAAGGACTCAGCAAAGAGCGAGGGATATAAAATCACTGCAGTATTTATTGGCTAAAAAGTATTTTGAAGCAAGAGATGGGAGAAGTGCAGCTAGAAAATCAGTGTATGAAGTGCAGGGGAATGCCAGTGAATCCAGCAAAGCCACATTGAAAATAAAAATGCATTTTCCTCATTAGAACCTCCAAGATCTTCTACATGAGGGTGAAAATAGCTCTGTCACATTGAACTAAAAGCTCTAAAGAATTAGGTGGGTTTTTTTTTTCTCTTGGTGTCTATCTAACCTGAGCCTGAGTGATTCTAAAGGCAATACAATTATGATACATTTTACACACTTGCAAAAACATTTTATTACAAATTACATTGGAGGGTGCCAGAGAACACGAGATGTCAGTTGGAAGCAAGGTTTTATGGTAATGTCAGCTTTCCCCAGGTTTAAAAAAATGTAAAAAATTAAAAATTTGCAACTTCTTAAGAAAATAGCCTGGACATGTACAGAACACGCCGTGAGAACTTTCCCTTTGAGCTCTTTGTTTCTCCAGTTGGAGTTTGCTCCCTCTTTTCTCCTGATCCCAGGAGCTCTGGATCACTCAGGGTCCCTGCACACACAAAGCTACTGAGGATTTGGGAATTGATTGCCATGGAGAGATGCTTGGTTTAATTTCTTTAAAAAACCCCAAACACTAGGTCTGTTAGCATGGAGGAGTGCATTAGTTATTAATGTTTGTTTTTTTCTTTTTAAATAATGAATACTGCTGTATTCTCCTTTTTCTGCCCATCTTTGAGATCCCTTTCTGCTTAAAAAAAAAAAGTGTTTTTTTTGTTTGGAGATATTTGGGTTTCTAAGCCTTGTTGTGTGGGCTGTGTTGTAAATAGTTGTTTAGTTAAAAACAATATAAAATACATGAAATATGGGTTTTTTTCCACATGAAACGGTGGCACTTCCTTCCTGGTGTACAGGATCACCTTCCTAATCCTTCAACTCCCACCAGAGGATTTCAGGATTTGCTTCCATGCAAGAGCTTGTAGCCCTCTTGAAGGTTTACTGTAAATATTGAGCTGGCCATAGGCACCTTCTGCATTTCCATTCCCATTTTAATTTGCTTTTCTTGCTCTTTGAGGGAAAAAAATTAGGTTATTTTCCTTCAGTTTCCTCCCAGGAGTAAATTGGATGATGAGCTAAGAGGAGAAACAGAGAAAAAGAAAAATACTTTCCCAAATTTTTAGTATTTTAGTACAAATTAAAGATCATGGTTCTTGCACCTAAAGGCTGAAGAATTTGTACCTTCCTGCTGCTACAGGGGATGCAATTTAAACCAAATTTGTCACATGACACTCAAATTATCTGAAATCCTTAGGGAAAAATCCCAAAACAAAAGATTCCCACTCCTTGGTGACTTCTAGCATGAGGAATTTTTCCACCAGTGGTCATTTTAGATGCAAGTTTAATGACAGTAGCAAATATTTAAAGGAAAATTTGCAGTTCATAAGTCAGAGCAAAATTTTAAGTGCTGTTTCCAAAAAAAAAAATCTGAACCAATTTAGGAAAAATCACATTTCTCCCTTAAGTGTGTCAATTACTGAGTACAATTGATAGATCGAGATATAAATTATAGTAAGCTGGGAAACCCATTTGAGCAGCTTAATAAATAAATAAATAAATAAATAGCATTTCCAATTTTCAGCTCCTTCCAAGCAGTGCTGCAGCCTGGACATCTCCTGGTGCCTTCTGCAGTATGGGAGAGGTTTTCCAAAGGCTGTTAGAAAACAATACTGACCCATGGCAAAGGCCAACAATCCGGATTGGGACGGGTCTGTTTTGGGGTTGGGTTTTGTTCCCGTGTGGTCGAGACCCTTCCAAGGTGACGCTGAGGGGTTGTCCCATGGCCTGGACCCTGTGAGCTGGAGGTGCTTAAAGGCTGGGCCTGAATTTTGGGAGGTTTCTGGCCACTGCCCCGCTGGGGCTGAGCAGCAGAGTTGGTTCTTCTGGTGGTGAGGACACAGCTGGACCAGAGATGATGTTTTGAAATGTGAGAGCTTGGTTGGAGTCTACATCGCATGAAGGCAGAGGACACGCCACAGTCACGTCTCGGAGATGGGCGCGGCCGCGGGCCGCGGGAAAAATTGTGCTTTGTCCAGGAATTCTGTGCTGAAAACTGCACTCCCCGATCACCACGGAGCTGTAAAACTCAACACCACTGCAAACATAAGGCTTGCTCGTTTTTATTCCCCCTCCTTGCTGTCCAAAGACAACAACCCAGACCCCCAAAAGGCTTTCACCATTCCTGGGGGGGCTTGAACGCGTCGGAGCGCCACGCTTTCGGATCTGAGGAGGGGTGGAAACAGTTTTACTTCCCATCTTTGTCCAAATTTCCGTTCGGGTTTTCCATCCCACATTGGCAAGCTGCAGGTAGCAGTGGGCAGGGGCACCCGAGCCCGTGCTCCCGGGCGTGAGTCCGTCGCTACAAAAGCCTTTTTGGTACACGCGGTGAGAACTGCACGCTGCCCTTGGCCAGGACACTGCTCCTTCCACCAAGATCCCGTCAGAGATGATGGATACAGCTCCAAATATTTGTCAAAGAAGGCCTTGAACTCCACACGTCATGGACTTGGGTTAAAGGAACCAGAGTTTCCATCTTCCGTGCTTTTTTGATTCAGTTTTGGATTTTTGCTTGGGAGTAGAGGAGTAGCTCTCCTGAGAATAAGGCAAAGGTGCAACCTGAGTTTCCTCAATAGGATGAAGTTTTCTCAAAACTGGCTGTAGTTTATCTTCTTGCTGTTTAAAATCCAATTCCACGCTAGAAATGGGAAGAGAAAAGCACTCGTTAAATATGATGATAAAAGAAATCATTTAACCCAATGTCTAAGTGCTTAATTTATGGAAATTAAATAATAAATAGTTCTTGCATGAAAATGAAAAGAGGAAGTTCAAAAAGAAGAAGAAAAATAGGAATTGGATTATTCAGCATTTCCCTGCTGTTAAGGAGGGTCTTGAGGATTATGGTGGAGTTGCTGGGAAGTGACTGACCACTAGAAATGCAACCTTTTTTTTTGGTGGAGAAATGATTTTTGAGGGCTTCCAAGCTCAGTTCTCCCTTCTGGGAGGTCAGGGTGGCAGCCAGGCACCTGCATCCTTGTTCTTTGGGGAAAGCTGAGAGGTTGGCCAAAAACAAGGAGGCTGTCCCAGAAATTCTTTACCTGAGCTGTTCCTTGACACTTTTACCATGGAAAGGATTAATTTCATCAAGTTCCTGTTGTATGCATAGACTCATATATATGTGTGGAATAAATAGATCAATTAAAAAGCAATTCTCCTTTATAGTGCATCCTTGCCTTTAGAAAACAGTCTGAAGTTGTAAAATCCCTGTCCTGAATTCCAAACACCGTTGGCTACAAAATCCTTCCAGCACTTAAGAACCACAATTGAGATGAAATTCCAGCCCTTACTTGAGCTTTGTGCTGCAGAACATTTTGAGGCCACCTTATAAAGCACAGGAACAACAGCAGCAAAATAAAATAGAGCAAACATCCTGTCTAAGGGTGGAAACTGAATTTTGGACCCTCAGAAGTACCCTGGAATTCAGTGGTTTTGGTTGGGTTTGTGCAGCAGCCTCTGGCCATGTTCTGCACTGAGGCTGTTCCTGTTTGTGTAGAATATTTGGGGCTGGAAGGGACCTTTGAAGGATTCCTGTTGCAGTGGGAGCTCTGGATATCAGAGCCTGAATTTAAAGGGTGAAATGTTGGGAATTTAGACACTTGGATTAGTTTATTTCTTCCCTGTCCCCCTCCACTGCTGAGTTTTCTTGGGTTTTGCACTGGCTTGCTTTTATTGTTACCTGAATATGAAGTTATCACTCCTGAGCTTGAGTTCACTTTTAATTAGGACTAAATATGTTTCCTGAGGTATTTCTGCCATTGCTTGTTCAGAGTGAACCACTGGAGAAGTGAGATCTGATTGCCCAGGTGTCATCCAAAAAGAGATTATTTTAAACTTCAGTTTAAGCCCTGTCTGACTTAAGGAGAGGCAGGGATGTGGCACAGAACACCTGCAGCCATTTCCAGGGAATTCTCATCATTAAGGTTGGAAAATACCTCCAAGATTTCCAGGGGAAAATTTGGGTGGACTTCACCTTACACAGGCTTTGTAAACAGCACAGAATGTCATCCTATACCATCTGCTGATTTAGGTGGGGTTTGTTTTCCTCTTAGGAATGGAAGATGCTGAGAGAAGGATGAGGAGAATTTTGTGCTTTTTGTTTTATTTTTAAGATCTGGTGTCTCTGACTCTGGTGGAGCCCCAGGAAGGGGTGTTAGAAAGGTGTGATGACTTTTTACATCTGGCCGTGTTTGGTTTGAGTGTAAATCCATTTTTAGCGAAAGTTTTGGCATTTCAGTGATTTGGATAAACTTTCCAGTAGCAGAGAAGAGAAATACATTAGGTAAGAATTCAAGTAGAGTTTTTTACCCATTGCTGTGTTTCAAATGAATAAAAAGCCATTCCAAATCAAAGATAATTTGAAAAATTTCGACTCAGTGCTGGAAGTGTAAAATGGTGAATTTTAGGAGGCAGCTGTATTGGTGCAGGAGCACATTCCAAGCCTACTGCTTAATATCCCTCCTTGTTAATGGAAAAACAACGTTGTCTTCACTGAAAATGTGTTCTGTGTGCAGTGTGGCTGGCAAAAAACAGTTGGTTAGGGAATTTCAGCAGGGATTTAGTGGTGGTATGTGGATATCAGCTCATTGGGAATGTCCCAGCACAGGAATTCTGTCAGTGAGGGAAAATCTTGGAATGAGGGAGGTGTTTCTCTAAGAGTTCCTTAAATCTCATTTAAAGTGCAGCATTTAGCATGTGTTATATCTGGTTTTTTCTCAGTATCAGGTTTTTTTGGGGGGAAAAAATAAAAAGGCCTTTCAGCTCTGGCATTGCCAGAGTTCATTTTTACTCCTTTCAAACATTATTCTTGCAGGGAGGCTCTTAAGAGCTGCTGAAAATTGCTGTAAAAAAAGAAATTGTTATAAAACCCCCATTGCTGAAGAGAGTAATTTTTTATATAATCAATTTCTATTAAAGATAGACCTCAAGAGGAAAAAAAAAGCATCTTAGTTCTGGTCCATCTGACAAGCCCCATGTCATTGCCTTTTGCTGCTGCAGCACAGATCAGCTTTCAGCCCTTCATATCCAAGGGAAATATTTTGCTTCTGAATGGTATAAAGAGGCTGAAGGAAAAAAAAAAAACATTTGTGTTATTTCAGCATTTAGAACTGTAAATTTCATAGAATAATTGACTGGTGTCTATCAGCATCAATTTATCCAGCATTGGAGGGGTTTTAATGGACTTGCTCCATCAGGCAAATTATTTGATTGCAAACTTAGGCTTGTTTGTGCCATAAAAATAAGACAAAAACCTGATTAAAAAAAAAATCAGATATCTTTCTGTATTACTTACTCTTTTACTCCTTAATATTATATCAATCATATGAAATACTACTAATCATCATCAATGACAAATTCCCAGAGAGGTTTGGGTTGGAAAGGACCTTCAGGATCATCCAGTTCCAACCTTTCACTACCCCAGGTTGCTCCAATTTTTGTCCAGCCTTGCCTTGGCCACTTCCAGGGATTAAATTCAGCAAATATTCCAAATTGGAGGACTTTTTGGTATTTTTGTTACCGAGCTGTATTCCTGAGCTGGATTGTGTCACCTGTCACAGCTCTGCCAATCCTGTTTTGCTGAGTGCTATTTCTGTCCCCTCAGCATCTCCAGGTGTCCTCTCTCCAAATGACCTTTTCCTGAAATATCCTCCTGCCATGTGCCTCTTCTCACTTTCAAACTTGGATTTTGTCCCTTAAGCCTGCCCACAATAACTCCAATAACTTAATTATCCGGGACTCTCCTGTTCTCCTGGCATTACACATGGAGATGGGAATTATTTGTTTCAGAAGCATTTTTTCTTTAATGATAGGATCATATTTTTCAATAGACTGACAATTCTCAACAAGCCCTACAGAAACAAGAGATGAATTTTAAATATTATTTAATAGCACAAACCTTGCCCTAGCACACCTGGTCAGGATATCCTAGAGCTTCACTTCCCTCCATGTTGTTAAACATTGTTAAATTTGGAACACTGAGTCAGAGTTTTTCCATCATTAATGCCTATCCCAAATTCTTCCTCCAAACATAGGGGCTGTTTTTATCAGCAAGCACTAAAATTCTATTTGTGATATAGATTTCTGTGTTTTCTCCCTAGAATCACTATAGACTTAGAAGGTTTGCAACCAAAACTTCTCATTTTAGGGCAGTTCTCTGTATCAGTGCTGTCCTTCCCAGGAAAATTTGGCCAAATAAAATCATGTAGCAGCACTTGGCTGATTTTATTTTGGCACCACCCTCACAAGGAAGGATTTTTTCCCAGTGCCCCATCTATCCCTGCCCCCTGGCAGTGGGAACCATTCCCTGTGTCCTGTCCCTCCATCCCTTGTCCCGAGTCTCTTTGCAGCTCTCCTGGAGCCCCTTTAGGGGACCTGAGGCATTGGTGTGATGAATTTTCTGGTTTTGCCTTTCTGTTTTTGACAATATATCTTAATGAGTTGACTTCTTGCATGCAGGCAGCAGAGAACCTTTTCTGATTTAATTGCTGTATGAGAGATTGAGGGCAGAATTTGAGGAGTGAGAACCATTGGGATTAAACATATGGACTGTGGGAGGGTTTGGAGCAAGAGGCTCCGAGATGTGGATGGGTTTTCTTATTTTCTAGCACAGTCACACGTTGTTGTCATGGATCATTTTCAGATTTTAGCTGCTCATGATGTGTTGGTTGCTGGAGGATTGCTGAGTCAGAGAAATCTGGGTTTGAGGATGGAGCTGCTGAGGGATTTCAGAAAATGGTTTGGGATGGAAGGGACCTCAAAGCTCATCCCAGCAGGGACACCTTCCTCTGTCCAGGTTGCTCCAAACCCCAATTTCCAGCCTGGCCTTGGGCACTGCCAGGGATCCAGGGGCAGCCCCAGCTGCTCTGGGCACCTGTGCCAGGGCTGCCCACCCTGCCAGGGAACAATTCCCAATTCCCAATCTCCCATCCAGCCCTGCCCTCTGGGATGGCATTCCCTGGGTCCTGTCCCTCCAGACCCTTGTAGCCTCTCTCCATCTGTGCTGTAGGTTATTGAGGTGCTGGAAGGGACAATGAGGTCACCCCAAAACTTCTGTTTTCCAGGCTGAACAATCCCAATTCTCCCAACCTCTCCCCACAGCGGGGCTGCTCCATCCCTCTGCTCATCCTGGAGCTGCTCTGGGCTCGTTCCAGCAGCTCCATGTCCTTCCTTCCCTTGACTCTTCCAAGGCTGGAGCCTGCAGAGGCTCTGGGCAGCTTTTTCCTCTTTCTGCCTCCAGGGAAATCCTTTTTCCTTCCCTTCCAGCTGAGCCCCTCAGGTGACACCTGAATTTCCCTTCTCCTCCTCACCTCCTCCAGGCACTCAGAGCAGCTGAACCATGGGGAGGTGAAGCAGGAATTACAGAATTCCACATTAATTGGATGACACAGCATTAGTGCTTCACATCCTGGAAAAATGGGATCCAGAGAAGCACTAATCACTTCCAAATGAGCTTAATGCACTTCCCAGCAATCTCTGCTAAATTTCCTCTTTCAGCCCAAAAATCAGCCCAGCCTGGGACCCAAAGCACTGCCAGCGTTCAGGAGCCTTTGAGATCCATTTTTTTTCCAATAAGCATCTTAAAGTCCAGAGATAAGATGAGAAAATGTAAATTAATTAATGTGGGTAGGAAATAAAAAGGTGATGAAAATTGCTATTCTCAGCATTGAACCACCTGATTTTCATACACTGCTGCTATCCTAGGGATTGATGCCTTATGCTCACTTTTTATTGCCACATTTGTTAATTTGAATAATTAATATTTAAGTATTTAACCTTTAAAAGTGAATTTCTTCCAGGTGGGCTCTGTGCTGCCTGATGAACTTTTATCCCCATATTTTAACTTGTTCTATCTCTTGTACTGAATTAGATTTTATATATTCGAATAATGTATTTTCTGCTGGATAGTGAGAGTCCACCTTAAATTAATATAAAGTAAAAATACAGAAGCATAAATCATCATTTTAAAAAAGTGGGAAAATTAATGGTTGAGACAGCTTTTAGTGATTTTTTTTTTTTCCTACAGAACTACAATAGTGAAGTGTGGATTTGTTTTCCTTCCAAGTCAGAAATTGGGATTTCAGCTCCTAGAAGTTTCCTTCCAGCATCTGAAATTTCCTTGTAAAGCTGTTGGAAATTCCTGACCTCCCTGCCCAAAGGGAAGTCCAGCAGGAATTCCACAAGGTTCTCTTTCCCAGAAATAATTTCTGCTAAAAGCCTGAGAATAATCCACCAAATATTCCAGAGAAGCCCCATTTTCTCCTGCAGATTCCTGCTCAAGGATTAACATTCACATGGGATGGGAAATTCCACAGGAGCAGGAAGGGCAGGTCCAGGAAAAGAAAATTACAGAATAAAACAGGCTGGGAAGCTTTCAGTTCACCTGGGTTTGGGGTTTTTCAGAATTGCTACAATTTCTGCATTTCAGTGCAATTCCTTTTTAACAGCAAGATTTTACTGCACTGTAAAAATTCCGTATTTACTGCCATATACAGAATTTTGATTTAAATACTTCAGTGTTTAAGTTGACTTTATCCTGGCAGTACCCCTAATTAAACTTCTTTTCTGTCTTTAGAAATGTCCATGGGGCAGCAGCATCAGACAGAAATTTGTATTGTGTTTGTAGCAGATGATTCTGGAAGTGTTCTGTGACCTCATGATTATTGAAACTGCTGGATAAAATGATAAAGTGGTTGGGTTTTTTACAATTTAATCCTAATTTTGGGTTCTGTTTTTAATTCTGCCTAATATGGCTACAAATAATATTTTTTACTGACAGTTTTAAGGCTGTGGCTGCTCTGGTGCAGTGAGAGAAGTTGAGTGATTCCTGGCTCTGGAGTTCCAAGTTCCTGAACATAGTGCATAAATAAGTAGAATTTTGAGGAAAATGGAATACCCAAATGGAAATGTCTTTCTTTTCCTCCTCATTTTCAAAGCAGCTTCAGGTTTTGCTAATTTGTTTTTTTTGATACTGTTTTATATTTGACCAGTTTCCTGTTTATTTTAAAAAATGAGAAAATAATGTTATTTTCCTTTTTTTAGTACTAAGAAATATTTGTTCTTCTCAACAAACAGAAAAATAATATAAAACATATTTTTAATACTAACAAAAAACTTACAATTTAATATGCAAAATAACTGTATTCCCAAAAGGCTCTTCCTAGAAGTTATTCCTGACAGTATTGATATTTTGGATGCTAAAACCCCTTTAAAGCACAGCAGGGTTTTTTTTTGTTGCCTTCTCATTGTGTCTGGTTTTTGTGCTTCATGATATCGATACTCTGAAATTTGTCTTGAGAGGAAAGAATTTAATTCCATGAATTTCTGCCTCCTCGCCTGTGCTCTACCTGACACTGCAGGATGCACTTCAGTAACTTAATCATTCCTTTAAGATGCTGTCTGAAAATAAAGATTTGAAACAGCTGTAAAATTTTTTCTTTTAGTGTTACAATGTTCAAAATTGAATCAAATTCCAAAAACCCATGCAGTCAATTAAAGGCAAAGTGGAAGGATTTCTCTTTAAATATTGATTTATCCCATAAGGGCATTATTTATATATTAATGCCCTTGTGGGATAAATTTTATTTTTATATATACACACATATGTATATATAAAATATAAATAACAATGATATTTATAGATAGAGATATATCATAAAGTTATATATATTAAATATATTTCTATGGGATAAATTAATTATATATGTATTTATATATATTTTAAGTCTCTCCTATGTTAATTGGGAAAAAGAGATCAAGACTAAGAACCTCCTGCTCTGACAGCTCCAGTGCCTTCCAAGAACTCAGGGGTTTCTGGCACCTTGAACAGTTTTAATTTCTGTTCCTAAAAGCTGTTTGGCCCTAAAGAGAAGTCGGGGCATTCCCTGCAGCTTTTTCCTGGATTTAATCTGGATTTAATCCCAGCCTGACCCAGGGGCTGCTGCCTTTCCCCAGAGGTGCCAGGGCCTTGTGCAGGAGCAGAAATTCCTGCAGGACATGCCATTTATCAGTGAATTCCTGATTTATCCCTTCTGGCTTATCCTGTCTCTATAATCCCCTTTTCTCCTGCCTCCCCTGCTTTGCTCTGCTTTCTGTCTGCTTGCCTGCAGCAGGAATTCTCCTAAACTGGCACAAAGCTGAGCTGGATTTTGCTCAAAAATCCCCTGGAAACGTGGCTTGAGGGAAATACCGAAATTCCAGGTGGGGATGGGCAGCTGGACCTGCCCTCTCTCAGTAGGAAAACTCTCCCAACTTGCTTTTCTGGACTCATTTTAATCACATCAAGTACAAGACTAGAAGCTGGAAGTTTCCTTAACTTGAAATCCACTGATTAGAAATGAAGATTTGCAGAAATTTCTAATTGTTTTTTTTTTCCTAGCTGATGAAACAAGGAGAATTCCCTGCTGGGGTTGTGCTGTGCTGTACCTCCAGGCTGCTCTGAGGCAGGAATTGCACAGGAAAAGGGAGGCACGGGAGGCTTTGGGTGTTTCTGTGCTTCTGAACTTGGCTGAAAAGGAGGAATAAAGGCATTAATTGGTTCCTGCCCCTGCACAGAACCCTGCTGTGGTCAGGTGTAAGGTGGAGCTGAAGGTTTCCATCCTTTTTTTCCTTTCATTCTGTGCAGTGAATAGAAAATTCATAAATAAATAGCTCCAGCTCTTCTGCCTAAAGCTGGCTGAGCAGAGAATTAAGGAGTGAGGGGGGAAATCCTACACTGATGCCTTCATTTGAGTTTTTGTCTCCACTGGAATTGGCATCTTGTGCATTTTCATTTGTGCTGCACTGCCTGATTTGCTGAAACCTTGAGCCACGTTTGTTTTCTCCTCATCTGCAAACAGTCTTGTTGGGTTTTTTGGGACTCCAGAGAAGGAGGACAATGAAGCTGTCAGGGTGAAACATTGTCAGCCTCATGATGGCTTCACCTCATGCCCAGTTCCTGTTATTCCTTCACTGGATGTGCCAAAAAAAAAAACCCCAACTGGGTAGGAATGGCAGTTTATCAAATCAGAAAATTAAATGGTTTGGGTTGGGAGGGATTTTAAAGCTCATCTCATTCCAACCCCTGGGCAGGGACACCTTCCACTGTCCCAATGTCCAACCTGGCCTTGGGATCCAGGGGCAGCCCCAGTTGCTCGGGGAATTCCATCCCAGCTCCTCCCCACCCTCCCAGGGAACAATTCCTAATTCCCAAAATCCCATCTAACCCTGATTTTACTCTAAAACAATCAATGGGTTCTGTATCTGGGTCTCTTTGCTTTACAAACCCTCTCTCCAAATGACCTCCCAAGTCGTGTTGGTACTGCCATAAAAATAAATCTAAAGTAGGTACAGAAGTGTATGAAAGTAAAATTGCAGTTGACTTGTTGGTCAGAAAATTTGAAATACCTCCAGCAATTTAAAAACAAAATTCACACCTTGCAACACCTCCCATCCCACAGCTCTGCTGCCCACAATAATTTCTTTCTGATTTATACTTCCACAGGTGTTGCATTTTATGATTTTAGTGGAGTTAAATTTCTGTTTTGTTGATTGGAACATAAAGGCCAATTGTTGGGCCTGCACTAGTGACTGAATCTTTGCTTTCTCCCAGGGAAAAATGGGAATATTGGTATTTTTAACCTACCTGTAGATAATACATGCACTGTTCCTGCACGTGTCACAATTGGCCGTGTCCTGGCCGGTCCGATAGGAAAGCCTGCAAAGACAGGGATGTGAAATCAGTAAAAAAGTCATTTTTTTAACAAATTTTGGCCTTCCATGACCATTTGCATAATAATCATAATTTCAGGATTATTTTTTTACCTTGAATATTGAATACAAAAATCCAGACATTAGGAAAATAGCATCAAAAATGCCATATTCAGTTTAAATTAAGAGATTACTTCTTTGGGGTGTGGTATTATTTTCTCCACTTTCACTCTACCCAAACTCTGAGTATTAAGCAATAAATCAAAACACATAATCCATTATATCAGGAGGAGTGTACAGACTACAATAATGCAAAATAGGATCTCTTTAGGAGTTTACAGACTACAATAATGCAAAATAGGATCTGTTTAGGAGCTTTGTGCCTCTCAGTGATCTCTGAAGATTTGTTGTAGGGATGTTTATGTGTTAAAAGGGAGAAAATGCTTTTGAAATGACATTTCCTGTGCTCCCTTAGCCTGCAGCTGTGCTTTGTCACACTCTGGTTTGAAGTCTCTTGCAGCAGTGAATTCTCATTTACCTGTGCTTGTCTCTGCCTTGGTCACTTTGAATTAAAAAGGGGGTTTTGAGGTATGCAGGTATTTTTTAATACATAGAAAATTAATTCAAATAAATATATTTCATTAAAATAGAATGGTTGGCTGTGAACATGAATGTTCTGGCATGCAGATGAGTTTGAAATGAAAATTGTTAATCCAGTATTTGTACATTGATACTTATATTTTTCTTTGTAAAATCAAAAATTTAGACTCTTTTGAAGCTAATTTCATTTTGTTACATACAAACAAATGCTGGCAACATTTCTTCAAAGTTGTTTTTAGAAGTGGGGAAATAATTTGTGCAGGGAACTTTGGAGATGTGGAAAATAGATCCAAGTCAGGATTCCTTCAGGGAATGAGGTTCTGCCTCAAGCCCAGGCAGCTCAGCAGATTGACCTCCAATTATTCAGGGCTGCTTTGCTTAACCAGGGGCATCTCTGCCCCTTCCCTGCCCTTGCAGGGACAGAGCTCCTCTGCTGCCCTGCCAATGAGCAAAAATTAAAAACCCAGCATTTGGGAAAAAATAAATAAATTAAAAAGACTTAATTTTTACCTGGCAAAATATCCAGCCTACGTAATATCAAGTTTTAATGGGAAATGCTGCTACAATTCTGCTCCAGTTTGATGCGCCTGTTCCCAGGATGAAAAATCAGCATTTCTGAGGTGCTGCAGGCTGTTTGTGCAGCTCAGAAAATGATCAGCTGGGCCTGTGTCACTTTTCTTTCTGATTTTAAGGATTAGCAGTGGCTGGGCTGGTGGCACAGCCCCCAGGCTCTGGGTGCAGCTCCTGGCACTGTGGTGGCACCAACAGAAGTTCATGAGAGGGTGAATCCACTTCTTTCAGACTTTTTTTTTCCTTTTAAAAGCAAAATGCAATGTGGAGTTCTTGCTGTCTTTAGATGATGGTTGTTATTTGGCCTCAAAATTGCTTTTTAATCAGATGCTCAGATTACCAACATTGCTGATTTTTAACATCACACAAAAGTCACATCACGGAACCATGGAATGGTTTGGGTTGGAAGGGATTTTAAATCCCACCCAGTGCCACCCCTGCCATGGCAGGGACACCTCCCACTGTCCCAGGTGCTCCAGCCCCAATGTCCAACCTGGCCTGTTGTTATTTTCCCAACCTGGAAAATGAAATTCGAGATAAATTTAGGGTAGGAGGTAATATAAAAGTGGATTTTTATTGAAGGTTTTCAGGGACAGTTATGGAAAGATGCCTACAAAAGTCTACCCTCACAGTGGTGAGTACATTTTTATAAGTTTTAGGAAATTAGCATCATTGATGAAAGTACTAATTAGGAGGACAGGTGGTGGTGCAATTTTCTCTAGGTTAAGCTCCTTTTCTGGAGTTAGGCACTAAGCTGTACTTTGTCTATGAAATGTAACTTGAGGAGTTGTTCTCAGCCTTGGTAGTTAGGGAGAACCAACCTAGGATAGGGGTCTTGTGTTTCTCAGGGCTTGGAGTTCTGGAATTTGTGCTGGTTTTTGGTCTAGGGAATGGAAAGTTTTTTGAAATATAATAGGTTACAGAGCTCCAAGTATATGTGCAGAGAATGCAGAGGACATAGAAAAGAAAAAAAAAGGCAGAAACTAAAATGGCATCAAACCCACCTTCCTTCAGACGAGGAGTTCCTACTACTGAAAGATGTGGAGAGGAATTCACACAGAGCAAAATGTCCATTTGGTGTGCTCCTCGTTATGGGAAAACCCCACTCCTGGTTTATATTTGCTCTTATCCTCTCTAAGACAAGCAATTCCTGGTTTTCATTTTCCCTCTTCAGATCTTTCAGAAGCTGACATTCAAATTGTCCCTCCTATGAACCTGAGACTTGTAAAACTTTTTTTTTTTTTCCCCAAGCTATTGATCAGCTCCTAAAAGCTCTAACTAAAGATACAACATTTAAAATCTAGAGATGAGTTGGGGAAGGCCTTTATTTACTGAGGGCATAAAGAAGAGTCAATAGCTGCCTTCAGAGGGATGTGGCTCTGCTCTTTATAGGTAAAGCCATAAACACCCTGTGCTGGTGCCAGCTCGGTTTGGTTTTTTTATTTAAAGCTCTTTTCCAGCTGGGACATTTTCATTCATCTTCGTAGCCCTGCAAACAGCTGGAACTGGATGATCTTTAAGGTTTTCCCAACCCAAACCATTCTGTGATTTGATGGTCTTTAAATGCATAATAATTCTAGATTTCCGTATACATAAAAGCATATTTGTTGGTATAAGGCTGACTTGCTAAGCTGATGAAAATGGTCCTTGGTTGTAAGTATTTAAAAATGAGATGATTTTTGGATGATGAGTTTGAAATCCTGATCTCTCAACTGCCACATTCAGCTCTGCTTGGTTTTAGCATCTGTGCAGTTCTCAGTCTTCACTGGCTATAGTGATATATTAATTTTCCAGTTGGATTTAATTCTTGATTAAATTTTCTTAAAGCGGTTTTTCTTTACTGAGTATTTTTAGCTTTTCAGAGATGATTTTTGCATATTTTCTATTATTTCCTTCTTTGAGTGATCCTGTTAGAATTCCCTGAAAGCCCCAAGAACACTCCATGGTGTCCTAATGTTTGGTTTCCATCTGGCAGTTTCAGAGTTCTTTAGGCAGGACTGAATTATGTGAGTGTTAGAACAGTGTAAATTCAATTATTTCTACAAAAATTAAACTCCTCATGAAAGAATTTTGTTGTTGATACCTCAGGGCTTTGGACTTTTACTTTCTTGTTTTCACATAATTATCTACACAAACACTTGCATGGAATTTGTCTCGTTCACACCAGCAAGGATTTCACTACTGGCACAGCATTGCCATGCAGATTTTAGGCAGTGAGGAGGGAGATTTTCAGTGCAGACTCACAGAAAAACAGAGTTTCCATCAGTTTTGGCTCCTAGGAATGATTTGAGAGCAGAGTCTGGATGATACCAAGAGAAGGAGAGCAGAGTTCTGGGTGATGCTGCTTTCTTTGTGCCATACAGTGTTTGAGTGAACTGCTTTTTTTCCTCTTCCTCCTAAAAATAATTTGTAAAGTATTCCCATGTAGGAGACAGACCAAAAACGTCATCCTTCGTTAGTAAACAAGTTGTTATTTCCGCTAAAAATAAATTCTTTCAAATGTCAAGTCTTTCACAAAGCAAAGTTTCCTACAGAAAATCTGTCGCCTTTGGAGAGGAATGGAAGTTGTTTTTGGCCTGGTGGGATGCCAGGGGTTGTTCCTGGAGTTTCAGCCTGTTTGGGATGAGATTGTTCTGATGTCCACTGAGGAGGAGCCATTGCTCCACAGCTTCATCCTCATTCCTCAGATCCTGTGGTTTCTATTTCATGGAATCCCAGACTGGTTTGGGTTGGAAGGGACCTCAAATCCCACCAAATTCTATGGGCAGGGATCCCTCCCACTCTTTCAGGGTCCTGCAAGCCCTGTCCAACTCAAAGGTCCTTGCAGGATGGATGTAGGTGAGTTCAGTTTTTCTGTCTGCATCTCTCCTTGGAAAGGAGATCTCCTCTCCAGTTTTTCCCACATTTTTCCATATTATTTTCAGGAGACTTTCATTTTCTGTCAGGTTAATATTTTTTTATTTTTTTTTAGCATTCTGGGTACAACCTGAGCTTAACCTCAATTAACACTCCCAAGTATTAAAATATCATAATGAAGAACAGCCATTTTGCTGACATGGACTGGCAGGAACTAAGAATAGGCTGCAATTTTCAGAGCAGCCTAAGGGGATTACACTCTCTAAATCCCTGTGAAACACACAATTTGTGCACCTGCTGGAGGCTTTTTTTTTTAATGCCAACTTTAACATCAAAATCTTTGCATTTGAATATTTTTTGCTTGTATAAATTACAGAAGCCCCATTGAGGTGGGAGAGGGAAGCGTAGATCTGTGTATGCTGATTTTTTTGTTTTAATGGGCATCTATTAAAAACAAAGAAAAAAAACTCCTAAACTTTATTTAGAAGGATTGATCTGTTAGATCTGGAATCCCCTAATGGGAGGATTTTCCAGAAGTGGCTGTGGTGGGTACAGAGCATGATGCTCCTGATGTTCCTCACACTTTTGATGGATTATCACCAGCAAGAAGGATGTACAGACTTCAATAA